TAAAGATGAATCCAACACTAAAATATGAATGAATGTTTCTGCATTCTGCACAAAGTAAAATAGAAATATATAATGCATGCATTATAAGCAACTGTTTTGTGACCTCTGACCAGCAGGGGTCACCATGCACTCTAGTGCAGTTATGGCATAGTAACATAATACAAAGCCCTCAACCCTTACAGACATGAGCACATCATTCTCTTTACTCAGATGCACAGTTTTTAAACTGCTTATTGTTATTTGTTTAAAAGTTACATATTAATTTAGTTATTAATGTTTATGTTCATTTGCAATTTTTTTCAATATTTATTGTTTTTATATTGTGCATTATTTATTAATTAAAGCCTGAACTGATAATAAAGTAGACATTCATTTTCATTCAGAGATATTAAAATTACTGGGACCTTGAGGCCATTACCAGAGGAGTGATGGTGGTTTGGTCTTAGGATGGGCCTACTGCAGTGGTTTCCAACCTGGGGGTTGAGACCCCACTAGGTGTCGCCAAAGTCTCATGCGAGTCCATAATTTTAAAGTGTGTAAGAAAACTTTGAAAGTATGCACAGTAAGCCTATATGTCAGCATTTTGTTTATTTCTGTGAAGAAAACTTCATGATTGTTTCTGTATAATTGTTATTTTTGAAGTTTAGATTATTATTTAAGATCTAAACTTATTAGTAATTAGGACTTTCACAAAGTTATATTCACAGAGGTTTAACTCTCTGATTAACGGCTTCATCCTGCATTAGAAAGGTACACAGTTCAAACAACCAAAGAACTCACAGAACAATGGCCAAGCATCAAGTAGTGCCTACAATGGGCACGTGAGCATCAGAACTGGACCACACAGCAATGGAAGAAGGTGACCTGGTCTGATGAATCTCATTTTCTTTTATATCTTGTGGATGGCCAGGTGAGTGGGATAGATGGTGAGAAGCTGTGAGGATGAACTTTATTGATTTTAATAGGTTTTATTGTCCATTATCTCTTTATAAATCAAACTGTTTCAGTTCAATGATTTTGTGTTTATTTGAGTAGTGTAGTAAACATGTCGTGTGTATATCAGCACAGCTCGAGTTGACTACCTGAACTAGCTCGCAGACTTCGCTCTATATATGGTTGTTTTACTTATGTATTTTGTCTTGTTATGATTTCAGTGGATCTTTATTTTATACAATATAAGTTTACATATTAAATTAATACATTGTGAAATGTAATGGGTGTACAGGTTTTGTTTCGTCTATCTTTGATGATGAAGGTTTCTGATGTGTGTCTTTTTATTTCCTTTTATTGGTATTAATTTCTGATGTGTGTCTTCTTATATTCTTTGATAATTCGATGTAGTTGAAATAGTTGTGATCCAGGATTAAGTAAAGGTCAAAGGTCATGACCAAGACAGCTTTCATTAACTTTCTCATTGGCTTCTCTTGATAATTTTACAAACCAGATAAGAGCATGTGTTTATAATAAGAAACTGTGAGGGAGAAAGTAATTTTATTTCCTGCAAGATTATTTTTTGTCACTGAGCTTGTTTTAATACATGTTCACTGGTAGTGTGTGTGTGTGTGTGTGTGTGTGTGTGTGATTTCTGTGTCTTCTGTTGTCATGAAGGACAGCTGTCAGTCATCCAGTGTTCAACTCTCAGGACTATAAACTCTCCCAGAGCACTGGAGCATGGTGCTGCTGATGCAAAGTGGCTCTCTATGGAAATGCTCTGACTGACTCCAACAGGGACTTGGATTCCTCTCATGATGCTGTTTATCAATGGATCAATCACTTTATCAGAGTATTGATTAGGAATGTGTCAGTGCTCATTTGTATGAGGCTTTGGCAGCAGCAGCAGCAGCAGCTGGGAGGAGAGCAGGAGCCCCGGGGTGCTGAAGGACGGCCACTACAGCTGGAGCAGCACCCTGAGGCTCTCTGCAGACCACTGGAGGAAGGTGGGCTCTGTGACCTGTGAGGCCACCCAGGGCTCCCAGACTCCGCTCTCAGAGACACTGAGGAGAGACCAGTGTTCCCAGTTCTGACCTGACTCACTGGGACTCTGATACTGGTTTTACTCTGCTACTGCTCTCAGTCTGCACTGTGCAATACACTCTCTCTCTCTCTCTCTCTCTCTCTCTCTCTCTCTCTCTTTGTCTCTCTCTCTCTCTCTCTCTCTCTCTCTCTCTCTCTCTCTCCTTGCTTGTTTTTAAGTTGACTGTGTCAAAATTTAAACATAATACAAATGTTATCAAATCAACAGTCTCCATGAGATCATTATTCATGAATTATTTCTTACGTATCATTAGCTTCGCCATATATCATATATGTTTAGAAACATTACAAAGATTCATCTGTGCAGCATCACAATAACAGCAAATGTATACTGTTTTTCTAGATTATCTTGAATAGTCTCATAACTTGGCAAAATGTTCTCCTTCTAATGTCACTTCTATCTGCTTTAATAAACATTGTTAATATGTTTAGATAATTTCAATTCAGTATCACTTAATTATGTTACCATTCATGTCTGATATTCATGAGGGTTCATATGCAACGAGGGCTCAAGCTGTTCATAGAAACTACCCCAAACCTCGGCATGAATCAAGAACCTTTTTAAAGATTTTAAGGATTAGATGTAAAAAGCAGCATATCGTCTGCATAAAGATATATACAGTGTCTCTGATTTGCTTTTTTTTAGAAGATTATGAAAATGACTACAGATTCACCAACATGAGAAACTGAATGCCTGATGAATCCCACCAAATTTTTTTACTAAATGGAATAAGGCACAGAGCGATATGGTGTGGCAATCTTGTGCCAAACTTGAAATGTTTTGCTAATTTGATCATAATTATTATCTTTTGTTTCTGCATACTGTACATGCATTGATTTTATACATACATTGAGCAAATATTCTGTTTTAATCTAAATTATGCAATGTGTGTGTGTGTGTGTGTGTGTGTGTGTGTGTGTGTGTGTGTGTGTGTGTGTGTGTGTGTGCCTCAGTGAAGTGTATCAGTCTCTGCAGTAGCTTCCAGCTGCAGCAGTCAGTTCAGTTTCTGTTCAGTCTGACTGAGGGAGGTTTTGTACGACGCTTTTTCACTGTGTGAACACATTCTGACTGTTGATGCTATGAACACTCTGACAGTAGTAAACTGCTGCATCTTCAGTCTGGACTCCACTGATGGTCAGAGTGAAGTCAGGGTTTGATCCACTGCCTGTAAAACGACCTGGAATCCCTGATGTTCGATTGTTAGTACCATAAATGAGCAGTTTAGGAGTTTCTCCATCTCTCTGTTGGTACCAGTGTAAATAGTTATTACTATAAACGTTCGGACTGGTCCTACATGTGATGGTGACGGAGCCTCCCAGAGCAGAGCTCACTGCTCCAGGCTGAGTCACTGTGACCTGGCCTCTGGACTCTGAGGATACAGAGACAAAAACATAAAGCAGCGTCATGGTTTTGTGGGCTTCATTTCAGAGGGACGGATGTTCATAGAGGAGAGGAGTTTGATTCTCTGGACTTTACCTGTGAAGCAGCAGCAGAGGAGAGTCCAGATGAGGACGGAGATCAAAGTCATGTTTTTGATGAGGAGGATTTCTGTGTCTTCTGTTGTCATGAAGGACAGCTGTCAGTCATCCAGTGTTCAACTCTCAGGACTATAAACTCTCCCAGAGCACTGGAGCATGGTGCTGCTGATGCAAAGTGGCTCTCTATGGAAATGTATGAGAGACTATGTTCTCAGTAGTGACCGGACTCACTGGGACTCTGCTTCTATTTTACCTTTCTACAGCCTTAAATCTGCACTTTCTATCATTCCACCATTTTAACAAATACATCAATCAAAAGATATTTTCTTTCGGTGGTCAAATAATTTTTCATGGATCCCTGTTTACCAACAACATATGTCTTATTCCGTATTTTCACATTTGCAGGATTATAACCAATGTCAAAATAAGAGTTTCATATCATTGTTGATAGTTAATACAATCTATGAAAAAGATAAAATAAAAGTAACATAGCATGAGTAAAAAATGTGCACACAACCTGTGTCGTCAGGTTTCCCCATACTGGACACTTTTTGTGTTTAACGTGTATGTGCACAACAACTTATGTGGATGTTCATATTAATGTTTATAAAAAACAACTGACTTATGTTGGAAACTCTTTCTAGTTAAATCTAGACAGCTAAATCTCTCTCAAACATGTGATTGAGGATATTCAACCTCATCTGCTGAAGACTTGGTCAAACCTGCAAAACTGGAATGAAAAGAAATCTAAAATATACATGCTGAACATGCATGGGTTGACTACCAAACTGCTCTTTCTTGCTTGCTTTTAAGTTGATTGTGTCAAAATTTAAAAATAATTAAAATGTTATCAAATCAATAGTGTCCATGAGATCATTATTCATGCATCATGTCTTACGTATCATTAGGTTTGCCATATATCATATATGTTTAAAAACAAGAAACATTAGAAAGATTCATCTATGCAGTATCACAATAACAGCAACTGTATAAATTTTTTTTTACATGATTATCTTGAATACTCTCATGACTTGGCAACATGTTCTCCTTCTGTTATCATTTCCATCTGCTTTATTGAACCTTGTTAATATGTTTAAATAAATTCAGTAACACTCAATTATGTCATCATTCATGTCTGATTTTCATGAGGGTTCATATGCAACGAGGGCCCAAGCTGTTCCTAGAAATTACCTCAAACCTCTGCATGAATAAAGAACCTTTTAAAGAGGATTTTAAGGATTAGATGTAAAAAGCAGCATATCGTCTGCATAAAGTTATACACGTCTCTGAAAGGCTTTTTTCTGAGATTATGAAAATGAGTACAGATTCACTATCATGAGTTGACAACATTTACAGTCAATAAGCATCAGCTCATTAAATAAGTCTTGTCATCAACTGCTGGTATGTGTTGCTGTCTGAAATCCTTAAACATATATAGACAGAGTGTGTCTCAGTAAATTATTCATATGACTTTATTATTTTAGCTCACAGTGATGCATTACCCACCACAGTTTTGTGAACAGTTGATGGGATTGTGTCATACATGTTACATTTGATTGCTCTGTCAGTACAGCCTGAATGCCTGATAAATCCCATCAAATTCTTTTCACTAAATGGAATAAGGCACAGAGAGATATGGTGTGGCAATCTTGTGCCACACTTGAAAATGTATTACTTTTTGTTTATAATTATTATTTACTATTGTTTGTTTCTGTGTACTGTATATGTATTGATTTTGCACATACATTGAGCTAATATTCTGTTTAAATCTAAATCATGAAATGTGTGTGCGTGTGTGTGTGTGTGTGTGTGTGAGAGTGTGAGTGTGTGTGTCCTCAGTGAAGTGTATCAGTCTCGGCAGTAGCTTCCAGCTGCAGCAGTCAGTTCAGTTTCTGTTCAGTCTGACTGAGGGAGGTTTTTGTACGACGCTTTTTCACTGTGTGAACACAGCCTGACTGTTGATGCTATGACCACTCTGACAGTAGTAAACTGCTGCATCTTCAGTCTGGACTCCACTGATGGTCAGAGTGAAGTCAGAGTTTGATCCACTGCCTGTAAAACGACCTGGAATCCCTGATGCTCGATATGTTGCCCTATTGATAAGCAGTTTAGGAGTTTCTCCATCTCTCTGTTGGTACCAGGCCAATTCATGGTAGCTGCTCCAAGTATAGACATTCTGACTGGTCCTACATGTGATGGAGACGGAGCGTCCCAGAGCAGAGCTCACTGCTCCAGACTGAGTCACTGTGACCTGGCCTCTGGACTCTGAGGATACAGAGACAAAAACATAAAGCAGCGTCATGGTTTTGTGGGCTTCATTTCAGAGGGACGGATGTTCATAGAGGAGAGGAGTTTGATTCTCTGGACTTTACCTGTGAAGCAGCAGCAGAGGAGAGTCCAGATGAGGACGGAGATCAAAGTCATGTTTTTGATGAGGAGGATTTCTGTGTCTTCTGTTGTCATGAAGGACAGCTGTCAGTCATCCAGTGTTCAACTCTCAGGACTATAAACTCTCCCAGAGCACTGGAGCATGGTGCTGCTGATGCAAAGTGGCTCTCTATGGAAATGTATGAGAGACCATGTTCTCAGTACTGACCGGACTCACTGGGACTCTGCTTCTGTTTTTACCTTGCTACAGCCTTAAATCTGCACTTTCTATCATTCCACCATTTGAACAAATTTGAACAAATTTGAACTTCAGATTATGACATTTTCATTGTCCCAATAATGCCAATGCTGTTAATGCTATACATCAATCAAAAGATATTTTCTATCTTTAGATCAAATAATTTTTCATGGATGTTTACCAACAACAGATATCTTATTCCATATTTTCACATGTGCAGGATTATAACCAATGTCAGAATAAGATTTTCATATCATTGTTGATAGTTAATACAATCTGGGAAAAATAGCTAAAAATAATAAATAACATAGCATGAGTGAAAAATGTGCACACATGCTGTTTCATTGGGTTTCCCCATACTGGACACTTTTTGTGTATAATGTGTATGTGCACAACAACATATTAATGTTCATAAAAAAATGCTGACATATGTTGGAAACTCTTTCTAGTTAAATCTAGACAGCTAAATCTCTCTCAAACATTTGATTGAAGATATTTAACCTCATCTGCTGAAGACTTGGTCAAACCTGCAAAACTGGAATGAAAAGAAATCTAAAATATACAGGCTGAACATGCATGGGCTGACTACCAAACTGCTCTCAATTCAATTCAAATTCAATTCAAAATGGGCTTTATTGGCATGAAAGTTTTTGCCAAAGCAAAAGCATCAAAATACAATACAATAAGTCGAAATATTCAGACAATACACAATATGAAAGATATATACATTATTAACATTATATTAGTTATATACAGTGTGTGTGTGTGTGTGTGTGTGTGTGTGTGTGTGTGTGTGTGTGTGTGTGTGTGTGTGTGGGGCCCACTGTTTTGTTTAGAGTTTAGTTAAGTAGCATTTGATCTGAGTCTGATGAGTACAGGTAAATCATATTAAAGTGGTAAGAATTAGGAATGTTAGAGACCTGAGATAATTTAAGTTTTGAATAGTATTTTGATATTGCCAAATCTATTTTGCTTATTACAAGTGTCTGATTTTCTACAGTGTTTTGCCAATTTTGGTAAAGGGTATTTCGTTTACAATTTAGTATTTCAACTATAATATTTTTATTTTAAAGAAGTCTAATTTGGGTAATTGTGTTATTTCATTTTTGTTTCTTCTTAACTAACAAAGTAAATATTATCTGTGTTACACTGCAAACCACTGGTTAGTAAAATATTATTGCATTTATTTGAAAGAGTTGTCTGGGGTCAGTTATTTAAAATAATGTACAGTATGTGTGAATAGAGCCACTGCTTAGTCTAACAGTGTTGTTGGTTATTCATAAAGTATTAGGCTATAAAAAGTTGCACACAAAACAGGTAAACCTTCGTGGTAGCTACCTTAATGAATCGAACCCAAACACCCCATCATTCAAGTCCAAGGTGAGTTCCTTTAACATAGGCATTTACTGAGTGTTGGGGTGCTACACATATATAAAGAGAGTTTGTTACTCTGTAAACTGTGTTCAGCTACTGTAGATGTACAATGCATTGTGGGAAAATATTAATCTCTAGATATAATTACAGTAACTAACATATCTGTATAAACCTGTCTGATGAGAGACTTGACATCAGTTGTATCAAATGCAAAGGTTAAAACATTTATCTTTGCCTAAAAAAAAATAACGTGCGAAAAAAAATGAAAATGTGATTGATTATTTTAAATGCCACATTATTAGAACTACATGTAATTATGAGGTGTGTTTTAGTTGTATCTTGTTGCCATTTAGTTTCCATGCAGCTGTTGATTCAGATCAGTTCCTCTCAGCTGAGGGAGGTTTTTGTATGACACTTTTTCACTGTGTGAACGGTCTGCTGTAATCCTGCTGACAGTAATAAACTCCTGCATCTTCAGTCTGAACTCCACTGATGGTCAAAGTGAAGTCAGTTCCAGACTGACTCCCACTGAAACGCTCTGAAACTCCAGACTGACGGGACTGAGCATTATAAATGAGGAGTTTAGGAGCTTCTCCAGGTTTCTGAAGGTACCACTGCAAATCATTGGTAACACCTGAACTGGCTTTACATCTGATAGAGACAGTCTGTCCTGGAACAACAGACTGAGCTTTAGGAGACTGAGTCAGGATGATTTCTCCTGATGAATCTGGAAAACATGAAAAAGAGGAGAAGGGTTATTGAGACAAATCCAGTTTGGAGAAAGATGATCAACATCCAAACAGAAGAGTATCATTTCTTTAACATGGAGAATAGATGGAAGAAGGTAAATGCTGCTTGTTTCAGTGTTTCTCCATCATAGCAGAACATCATTGTGGTGAACCTGGTTGCATCCTGAAGCAAAGTTTTCAGAAGAGAGTCTCACCCTGAACAAGGAGCCCCAGGGTGGCCAGCAGTAGAGTCAGTGACATCCTCATTGTGCTGCCGGCGTGTCAGTGGCTCTGAAAGGCCTGGACAGCCACTGATCAACACTGGCCTCTTAACGGCTGGGAGCAGAGAGGAAGGACACATATGCAAACACACAGAGTCAGTGAACTGTAGCTGTCCTCAACATATCATGGTGTTTCCCCCTCAGTGCTGAGAGCATTGTCCTACATATTTACATATTTACCTGTAGAGGATATTGAAACATCTTGTAGTTACAGCTGTGAGCAGTAATGTGAGTATTCTGAAGGTCTTTATGTTGCACTTTAAGGATTTCTGGTAGATGTTTACTGAAAAGTTGCAACTGATAGTTTATGGGTAACAATCAAAACCATTTCTCAGTAGCTGTTTTGGAGCTTGTGATTTAACTACATGGTCTTCCTCAGCAGATGGAGTTCACCAAGTTGTGATGGAATAGAAGCCAACATGTACAAGAAGTTCTAAAAATGCTCACAGAAATGGGAATTCGAACAACTACAATTGAATGACAACCGGGAGACTCCATCCGCTGAAGAAGATCATGTGATATGATTTACAGTTCCAGTTAGTGGATGGATGTTCCACAAATATTTTTAAAATTGTTTTCAAGGTAAAGAATTCACCTTTATACAGTGTTTTTGTGTTGCATGTTAGAGAAAATGTATTTTTGCATGTTTTATGCAGTTAAAGATAATTGTATTGAAATATACTGTATGCAGATATAATTATATCATAGAGGTATTCTAATGTTAGGATTCCAGTCATAATGAGATTTTCTTTAATAAACAAAAGTCTATTCAATCAATACTGAGTGAAATGGGGATGTAGGCCTACGGGTTTGTTTGGTCAATCTTTGGTAATGAAGATTTCTGATTGGTGTCCTTTTATTATTTAATGACAGGATGAAGTTGAAGAATCTGTACTCCAGTATAAATCAGAGGTCAAAGGTCAAAATCAAGAATTTTCTCATTCATTCTCCCTGGGAACATGGGATTTTGAAAGAAGCTGTGATGGAGAATGTAATTCGATTTACTGTGAGATTATTCTTTTGTCAATTTTAATAAATGTTTATTGTGTCTGTGTTTGTGTGTGTGTGTGTGTGTGTGTGTGTGTGTGTGTGTGTGTGTGTGTGTGTGTCCTCAGTGAAGTGTATCAGTCTCTGCAGTAGCTTCCAGCTGCAGCAGTCAGTTCAGTTTCTGTTCAGTCTGACTGAGGGAGGTTTTTGTACGACGCTTTTTCACTGTGTGAACACAGCCTGACTGTTGATGTCATGAAAACTCTGACAGTAGTAAACTGCTGCATCTTCAGTCTGGACTCCACTGATGGTCAGAGTGAAGTCAGAGTTTGATCCACTGCCTGTAAAACGACCTGGAATCCCTGATGCTCGAGTGCTAGCAGCATAAATGAGCAGTTTAGGAGTTTCTCCATCTCTCTGTTGGTACCAAGCTAAAAGGTGGTATGGGCTACTATAATATACATCCTGACTGATCCTACATGTGATGGTGACGGAGCGTCCCAGAGCAGAGCTCACTGCTCCAGACTGAGTCACTGTGACCTGGCCTCTGGACTCTGAGGATACAGAGACAAAAACATAAAGCAGCGTCATGGTTTTGTGGGCTTCATTTCAGAGGGACGGATGTTCATAGAGGAGAGGAGTTTGATTCTCTGGACTTTACCTGTGAAGCAGCAGCAGAGGAGAGTCCAGATGAGGACGGACATCAAAGTCATGTTTTTGATGAGGAGGATTTCTGTGTCTTCTGTTGTCATGAAGGACAGCTGTCAGTCATCCAGTGTTCAACTCTCAGGACTATAAACTCTCCCAGAGCACTGGAGCATGGTGCTGCTGATGCAAAGTGGCTCTCTATGGAAATGCTCTGACTGACTCCAACAGGGACTTGGATTCCTCTCATGATGCTGTTTATCAATGGATCAATCACTTTATCAGAGTATTGATTAGGAATGTGTCAGTGCTCATTTGTATGAGGCTTTGGTTTCAGTTTGATGGACACATTTTCTTCCAGAATATTTAGTGAATTCCCCCTAATTCACTACCACACAGATCAACATCACTGTGGGACACATTTAAACAAATATATTATCTATTATTTATTTTATATTCATCATAATATACAATAAACATATGTTTATGATCATTATTTACATTTGTCATCATTTATTGGAGACTTTTACTTAGAAATATCTTGTTTCATCGTTTCAATGTAACATGAATTAATACAGCTTTTATCATACAAAAAGATTAAATATATATTCATAGTTTATTTTTTAGACACTTTAACCAGTTATTAGATGAACTGGGTAAACTGGGAATGCGCTTGCTGAGTTTGTTTGTGTCAAAGTCAGAGAGCCGTGTCTCTCTACAGTGAGAGGTTTTGTACGGCGGCTCAATGAGTTTGTATCACTGTGGTGGACTTTTGGTGGAGGAACCAGACTGGAAGTTGGAAGTAAGTCAAATCTTTAATTTTTTTATCATTTCAGGACATATTTGTCTTTTTATATATATTTCAGGAAGAATTCTTGATTTTTCATATTAATGTATATCTTCTGCAGAAATACTTTACACTCAGAGACAAACTTTGCATCAGGAATATAAATTCAAAACCTCATTGAAGTCAATTTAAAATATCAAGACAGAATATGAATCAGTATTTCCAACTTTAATGGTAAAGCTTCATCTTGAGGGTTTGTAGGTTTAGTTCAGTGTGCCAAAGTCAGAGAGCCGTGTCTCTCTACAGTGAGAGGTTTTTGTACGGCGTTTGTATCACTGTGGTTGACTTTTGGTGGAGGAACCAGACAGGATGTTGAAAGTAAGTTTCCGTACAAATACTAAATACAATATTGTAAAGTAATGTTTTAAATGCAGTTTTTGTATGTCTGAAGCAGACAGATATATCTTGTTTTAATATTAACACTTGAAGTATTCATGTTTGTACTTGTCCTCCTTCATCATGGAGACTAACTCTTTGTTCTTTACACATTCCTGTCAAACTGAAATTCAAACAGCTTGAAGTGTAGAAAAGATAAAACTGCTAAACTTGTTGTACAAATGTTTCATTTTTTAAGATTCACTTTTACTTTTTGATATCAGAAATAACTGTTTTTAAATTAATTCAGATAAAATTATTATAGTCAAATTGAACATAGTGAAGATAAAGATGAGTAAACATTCAAAATCTCTTAATAGTGTTATATATTGTTTTAAAGTTACATTTTGGTAATAATGATTGAAATCCACATGAAGAACATTTGATTGTAGTCAGTTCATTTTCTGTGTTTGTTCATGTTTCCACTAAATACTTTAAAGTAATGTATAGTTCAGGTTTTGGATGATTTTGATGATACAGTTTTTGATATTTTATTTCCAGTGTAGTTTGATATATTTCAGCTTATTCTGTATGATGATTCTCTCTGTGCTGATATGCATGAGAGGCTTCTTAAAGGGAAGTGAAACAATGTGTGAGTGAGTGACTGGTGGAGCAGAAAAACCATCTGACAGAAACTCCTTAAAGGAGAAAATCAACTCTCACACAGTAAAGGTGTCCAAGTGTCTGCTTCTTGATTGACAGCTGTGTGGTCCCTGTCCTCTAAGCTGATTGGTGTCTCCTAGGTGATGTCCGTCCCACCCTGACGGTGCTGCCCCCTCCAGTAAGGAGCTGCAGCAGGGGAAGGCCACGCTCATGTGTCTGGCCAACAAGGGCTTCCCCTCAGACTGGAGTCTGTCCTGGAAGGTGGACGGCAGCAGCAGCAGCAGCAGCAGCAGCTGGGAGGAGAGCAGGAGCCCCGGGGTGCTGAAGGACGGCCACTACAGCTGGAGCAGCACCCTGAGGCTCTCTGCAGACCACTGGAGGAAGGTGGGCTCTGTGACCTGTGAGGCCACCCAGGGCTCCCAGACTCCGCTCTCAGAGACACTGAGGAGAGACCAGTGTTCCCAGTTCTGACCTGACTCACTGGGACTACTACTACTGGTTTTACTCTGCTACTGCTCTCAGTCTGCACTCGCTCATTATCTGTCTAAATCTTTCTTTACCTCCTCCCACTCTCTGATTACATGTTTCATTGAATAAATTTGTTTTTTTGATTATTTCAACACAATAAAGACCAGTTCATCAAATAATTTGTTGTCATGTATGTTGATGTAAACTGATGTTGCTGTCTTCAAAGTTCTATTAAATCCACAAACATTGAATTCAATTTTAGGCAATGTCCTGAGAAAGACTACAACGTAGAAATGTTTAATATCTTTTCTCGATATTTAGAAAACATAAAAGTAATGCGATAATCCTTAATGAGAAGTTATTGTGACAGAGACATTATTAAAGTGATTTAATCCTTTACTCCAGATTCTTTAAAGCATTTGTGATTACATAAACTTCCTTATTACATTAATCATGAATTTAGTTTTTAGGAACAAAGCTGATCGATAAAATATTAAGGAAGATGTTGTATTTGTCTTATTAATGAAGTGTGTCATTGGTAGAAACTTTAATATTAAAATTGTTTCACAAGTTTACAGAAAGTAAAATGAATCTGATGAAACTGCAAACTCTGGGAAGAAAGCATTGTATTTGAAAGATAAAATCGGATATTATCAACATATTATATCATCACAGGATCACTATCAGCAGTTTGTATTCAAATTATAACATAAATTGTGTATTTTCATATAAACACAAGGTCATTCAAATTATGTAGTGTATGTAAGTTTGTTGAAAACTAAACTGGCTTAAATATGAATTTCAAATTAAATTTAAATACTAAGAAATAAAAATAAATATTCTATTACATACATTTTGACTGATCAAAGCAGGTAAAGCACAGGTGTAATAATAACATTACAGGTTTTTTTCAATTGCTAACATCTTTTTGCCCAATCTGTAGTCACATTTTCAAAACTCTAAACACAGTTAGCCCCACATTGGTCTGTTCATCCCATACAATTAACACAATTCATGTTGTTTCCACAGAATATGCAGTCAATTGACCCATTTCTGCAATGCTAAGTTTTTCTTTACGTACAAGCTCACCCAATACCAAAACTATGGATGTTTTTTGTGT